GACTGTTTCACTTCGTTTTTTCGCCATTTTCCCCACTATATGGCGCCCTGCTAGCATTTTGGGCCAATTAACAAAATATCGTGCCAACTGCCTTCAAAGAAAGAAAATCGAACTAACTTCAGATACTTTGAACCACAGCTCGTCTAGTTTTAGAGAGCGTATGAGTGATACCTTAAAATGAAATGTGGGCCCTAGTTTTGCTGAGATGTGTGGTCCTGATATTCATTTCGAAATATAGCTGTTCTTAAAAAACCGCTGTGAGCAAGCTATATTTCAAAATAAATATCAAGGGTGTAGGTGGTGCTTTGTAGCCGCAGCGCTTACCACGCACGCGAACGGTTCCTACTCGGGAGATTCAGGCTTCCGCCCCCCTCCAGACAGGGTACAGCATCTGACGTGTGAGGTGGTGGTGTCTGTACGACCCCCCTAAAAGAGGTTCTCGATACGACCCTCCCCCTTCCCCAACAACACCTACTTACCAATTCTTGGTACAATCTCCACCCCCCCCCCCGTTTTCGAACAACACCTATCCACCAATTTCCCACATTTTCCAGTTTTTCACCCGAAGATTTTTCGTCCGTCAAGCGGGTATACAGCCAATGTGAAGCGGGAAAATTTCTCAGATTTACCCCCAAATTCCTAGCTCCTTGTTCAGGAATTTCCCGAAAAATTTTCCTACTTCTCCCAAAAAATTCCCTGTCGAGCGGGGGGGGGGAATAGGGTTTAAGTTATGTCCTAGTGTATAGCATAGTTCAAAACGTCAAATAGTGGAAAATGTGAGAAATCCAGAAAATCGTCCATAAAGTGGGTAGAGTTCTCGGGCGAGGGGTAAGAAGCGTTGATATGTATGATGAACACTCCATCCTTCTACACGACTGTAAAATCAAATTTGAAAAATATCCGCAACTTGAAAAAAGTGAATTCTTGAACATTTTCATAGAAGTACGTCTATAAAGTGGGCGTGGCTGTAAAGGGCGGAGTCTGACTTGGATGATTATATAGGCAATTTACGTGCAATTCACGATTATTTATGTATGGAGTCACTTCTTATAAAAGCTACTCCAAGCAGAGTTATTAACAAGAAATGAAAATCGTCTGCGAATCCTCCACGTGGGAGTAGACGTAAACAGCGAGATTCCGTGTCTGCGGACCAATAACAGCTTGGAGCGGTTTGCTGCCGTTCCGCAGAGAGGACGATGATTCGAGAATTCTCCTGGTCCGAAACACCGAAACAAAAACTTCATCGATGCTGTGTAAAGATCAATACTGCATCGAGCAGATTTTCTAGTAAACTAACGGTTTTGAAAGTTTCCGAAGTACTGACTACTCGAATGTAATCGAATGCAAGTCAGAGAAAGTATACAGTAGAAGTATCGTGTAGAGTAGAGGAATGTACGCTCAAGTATCGATGAAGAGATGAATCTAACAGATTATGGAGCTCATTGGAAAACATCTACTAGGAATTACTTTAAAGAACCATTGTGAAAGCCGCTTCAAAATTCAAAATTAATTCGAAGAGAAGTAAACAGAACACGTGGTTGAACGTCATTGAAAGAACTGGGCTGTGAACGTCATACTGCTGCCGTCATACTCCACTAGTGCAAGACTGCTGAATGTGTTTTTTCTTTGAACAGTGTAAAAGAATCATCCATCACTGTTCCTTTATTGATTGCAATCTTCTGCTACAGCCCAGCTGAACCTTTTAACGTCAACATTTCCATAGAACTCGCTCTGTAGAACAGTTTTTCATGATCCCCAGAGATCTCGCCCAGCACGCTACTTTTAGACCCCATTTCAAGACAAACCGCCGCGATTGCATGTTTTGGATAGCGGTTTTCATTTACAAACCTACACTCGGCAACTGACGCTCCAGGGACGAAAACAAAAAAGTCGTGGAGAACACCCTAAGTGATGACCTCGCAGCCTCTTCGCATGGGTTCGCGGACCTGTTTGTTTTATGCCAGCAAAGCAATATCCTGCAGCCTCTGGCTCACTTATGCTTTCTTCGCGTCATCCTGTGCTAATACCACCCAACAATGGAAAAAACGAAAAAGTGTAGTATGAAACCTGTAATTGTGACAGACAATAGCGAATATTTAGTTATTTGTGATAAACGAGGTAATTAGATAGAACCTTTTTATTGGCCCGACGTTTCGACCTTCTCGTCTTCTTTAGAGGCCTGAAAATGGCTCGAAGCTATCAATTTGTCACCTACCCGAACAAGCGCCTTCTCCACTCTAGTGTTTCCGACGTCGTGTCCCGAACACCCCCGAAGAATCCAGCAATAACTGCGCGAATGTCAAACAACGAATGTCCGTCAATTACTAATGAGTTCTTGCCGTTTGTATCAGAGGCGAGCTACAGTAAGGGCTACGTGCACAATGACAATTTTGACTTATGTGACACGATGAGACTCTAGTGAGACTCATTCGTCCTTACTTACACTACTGACACATAGCGTGAGCTAAGCTCCGCACTGTGGAACATCGGTGAGTTGAGCGCAGTTATTGCTGGGTTCTTCGGGGGTGTTCGCGACACGACGTCGGAAACGCTAGAGTGGGGAAGGCGCTTGATCGGCAAGTGACGCATTGATAGCTTCGAGCCATTTTCAAGCCTTTGAAGAAGACGAGAAGGTCGAAACGTCGGGCCAATAAAAAGGTTCTATCTAATAACCTCGTTTGCCAGAAATAACTTAATATTCGACATCATGCCGAGGTTACAAGAGAGAACTTGGAGATTACAGACAATAGCCTTTGTGTCCTGGTGGGCGGAGCAACTAGGGGGCGGCAGAACTGCCACTTGTTAGGGCCACAGCGCCTTTGCTGAGCTTTGTGAGGTAGGTGAGTGGGAAAAAGGAAAAGAAAAGAAAAGTGGGACAGTAAATGAATTACGTACTTTACAATATCTAATTGGAATTGAAAAGTAAAATCACTAAAGTCCCTCAGCGCTGGAAAAAAAGTGTGAAGCGACGAGTCTGCAACCGTTCCTCAAATCAGCCACAATTGCAAAAGATTTTGCTCAAATTACTCCGAGTATCTTCAACCAGAGTTGGTTACCCCCTATGCGAAAATTCTTGCCCTTGATTTTTTTTGTTTCACACGTGCCACGTGCTGTATACCACCTAGTGGGCATCGCTGCAGTTTTAGCATTTCCGGTAGTTGATCGGATTACAGGAATTCACCCTGGCTCGAGGGTTTTTCGAGGGGAGAGAGGTTAGTCGTATTTTGAAAAACGCAATCCAACACCAAAACCTACCCTGCCCCAAATTGATCGACAACGGCGATCTCTGATCAGTCCCTTGTTCGCTATTAATGAACACTAATACACTAATAAAGCTACAATTGTACAGTTGGTAGCGCGTTCCAACTCTGATGGAAAGAACAGATCACGTACTCTATTTCAGTGTACCCTCCTGTCGAAAGGTTTTTTCAGAGGGGAGAGGTGGGGATGGGCGATGGTCGGCAAGGGCGGGCTACCCTTAGAGGCATAAGGCACCGTTTTGTTAACTGTTCTAAAATAGTAGCAGGTGGGAAAATATAGTGGAGAAAATGGCGAAAAAGCGAGGGTAAACGGCCAGAAACCTGCGAAAAACTTTTCTTCTGCATGGCATTGAACATGCGTTTTTGGAGGAGTTTCCCGTGGCATCGTGCAACGACCGCTTCGATAGACGCGGTTGCACGTATGTATTCAGATATCCGTATAATACTTCATGTCAGTTGCCCATTATTGATGAAGCGACAAGAGCACCAGCGTCGATATGGCTGTGCGGCCATTTGTGGGCGGACCGTGTAATGGGCGTTTGGTTCGGCATGTTGCACCGTAGTTTGGCGCTATAACGGTGCTCTGGTTCGAAAAAGCGCCCCGCAGCGCCTGCTAAGCAGTACAGTACTCTGTCTCGTTAAATCGACAAGGCGTACAGAGTCTGTACGCCTTGTCGATTTATCGTGTCACTTGCCTTCAAACGTCTACCAAAAGCACAGGGCGGTAGTCGTGCCCTATCACTGAAGCAAAAGTGCTCCCTCTTATCATGGTGCTACCTACTTTAACCATTAGGTATTACAGAATATGAACTTGAAGTAGAGCCAATTACCCGATTTCCTTCTCACTCATTTCAATGAACCCATGTCACTTTTCAGCGTCTATTGCTTGTCGATCCCGAAAAGTTCGAGAACAATATTCTAAGGCAGAATCGGCAGCATGAGAGGCAGTTCACGTTTGACGCCGCTTTTGGACCGAATTCATCGCAAGTGAGATATTTACTTGTAGAATAGTCAAAATTTTTGAAAAGTGTTAAAACCCAGGGTTTAGGCTTGTTTTAGTGACCAAGTGACAATAGCCACTAAGTTGCGATTCAGGTGGATATTCACGAAGCAACGACTTCTCCACTTGTGGATTCTGTAGTAGCCGGGTATAACGCCACAGTCTTTGCATATGGAGCAACTGGTCAGTGTTTCCCCTTTGATGTCAACTTAAAGTCAGTCAGGTTCACACTTTGCAGCAGCGTCCATCAGCGTCTGCCAGCGTCCACTAGCTTTCCGAGCGTTCGACAACGTCAGCGACTAGGAAAGTATAGATATCGTCTAGCATCTTTCAGCGTGCACTAGCTACCAGGAGTAGAGCATGGGGAAGTAGGAGCGTAGCAAACAGCTGGATCAGGCACGTGAAATGCGGCATGTGCAACCGCACCGCACAACTGCTAAAGCACAGAATCATGCAATTAAATGTACTGTGGTGTAGTTCTACGGTGCGGTTGCACACACCGCAATTTCACAATGCCGAATTCAGCTGCTTGCTACCCTCCTACGCAGTCGCTGAATCGATGTCTATACTTTCCTAATCGCTGACGCTGCCTGACGCTCGGAAGGGTGGTGGTAGCTGGCGGACGCTGGTGGACGTTACCGCAAAGTATGAACGGAATGAATCAAATGGAATGAATGTAGCTTTGGTGGGCCAAGAGAAACGCCATCTCAATGATTCCAGGCTCTGGTAAGACGTTCACAATGATAGGGACCAAAGAGCGACCTGGACTGATGAGCCTCCTCACCCAAAGTCTATACCAGAAAATCAGCCTCGATCAGTACCAAGTGCAATTATCGTATCTGGTGAGTTTCTATCAAGTAGTAATCTCCTTGGGATGTGATTATAATCCTCTCGTCACATGAGCAACAGAGAAAATGAAACCTTACAAGCGGCCGAAGAACCACAACGATAGGATATGACTACTCTACGGCGTCTATTCAGTCTGAGTTGGGGGGAAGAAACTACAAAATAATTGATAGGTTGACGGAAAAGTTGCGTTTTTCACAAATTTGAAATTATTCCCTTTGATCTAAAAAACGCTTCCAATAATATGAGCCATAACCAAAGGCAATCTGTTCCTATTAGTATGACTAATTTTTTTCTTGCTTCCTGATTATTGCACTATGGACGACAGTTCCGTTCCGAACCATGAGCACCTGTGCACTTTTACTTTTTTATACTACCTTTTTGGCTCGAACATGGGAACTGCCGCGGCCAAATGAAGGAGTAGGGGAGCTACGCCACTCTCTCTCCCCGCATCCGCTACCGGACAATCTTCCACAAACCCAGTGATTCAAGGGGGGGGGGGGAGGAGGAGGGTGGGACACTGCCGTCTTAAAGATGATCCGACCTCTGAATGCCCATTTGAGCTCAGCCCGAGTGAGCTGCAACTTATAAAACTACTGGATCAATGTGCTGCTTCCACGAGCGATCTCCCCCCAAAACAACTGCGAGATCTAGAGAGAAGCTTCGACCGGAAGGAAAGTTTTGCTGCACACCTCGCTTTTGTGTGACAGGGCCAGATCGCTGATTGCAAAAAGGTCACGAAAAACGGTTCAAAGCACATTCTATACAGCTGTATGACTTTCCTTTTGCACTGATGCAGTTGATACCTTTGCAGTCAGTCGAGCGGTGCCAGGAAGGCGGAGTGAGCCCGCCCCCCGTTGCTTTGCTCTACCAATGGTGATCAATTAGATCCATTTAATGGTTGGCCGAAACAGGAGCTAAACTGTTTCCTTGTACTAACTTCCACCCCTTCCCCTCACTATGAATCATAACTTCAGTCAACATTAACAAAGGTAAAACAGTAGTAAAAAGTTGATCCGAAGATAATTAAGCAGTAATTTGTGTAACATACATGCACAATACCTTAACCAAAATTTATTATGGAAAAAACAACCAGCGATGGAAGCGTCGCTGGTGGGCTCATTCCATTCCCCTTCAAACCGACCCGACTAAATGCGTCGATACCAAATGTATAGTCCAAAGAACGGTCTGTTCAACTGTTAGTTACTTTACGAATTAACTCGTCATACGGACGAGTAAAGTTTCATGATCCGTGCCCAAGTCAAGAAGACGTCAATCGAGAAGACGTACAACTTTGCGTTACACCAGCCTGCGTTGAAAAGATGGTACGTACCCTTAGGGTTCTCAAGAACTGGCAGGAACCCCGCAGTAACAATATTGTATATTTTCAATTTTATACGTTTTTCTACAAAACCAAAGCATAATTTCGAAAAATATGGCACAACTTTCCCGCCAAATTTTCTTTTTGACCATGGTCTGTGATAACCATGCGTCATAAGTCAAGCCAGACTGGTGACTCTCAGACTGCGCCTCCATTATTGACAGGTAGATCATGATGGTTTCTGAGCAACTTGAATTTTGTCTATCTTTGATAGATTACTCTATATCATTGTTAAGGAAATCTATAATGAAGTGATACGAGATCTGCTAAGCCCAAATGGTGGAGTGCTGGATTTGCTGGAAGACGACAAAGGAAACATAAGAGTTCCAGGATTGTCCACAGTTCGAGCACCAAACCTTACAAGGGTATGCAATTTTCTAAAAGTAATGTTTGCCATCCTGCTAAGTGAAAAGCTTGTAAATTCGAAACCCCTGATTCCCAGTGATACCAAAAAATGCAGTCAAGATCAGGCCTGTATGGTATGAGTGACAAAGTGCCAAAAGTGCCAACAGGTTCGCACATTTCCCGTAACGAAGCACTTACTGTGATTCTTTGAAAAAATTCCATTCTACACCTAGTGGCATATCAATATCCTTTTTCCACGCTACAAAATGCACGCTGAAGGGCAATGATATCCGAGTGCCATCTCACTATTCCGCACGCACTGACACAAGGCCAGTTACGCCTGACCATAGGCGAACGAGCTGCTTGTCTGCGCTCTCTCGCTGCTGGCTACTCCCTACCTATGCGTATTCTGCGGGGTTTTGGTATTACCGCATATTATGGACAGAACGGGCGGAGTTAAGAGATGGGTTTTGGGTTACAACTACCGTCACCCGTTCCCGTGCACTTTTGAACGAAGAAAGGAGTACGCTACAGCTGCTGCAAATCCACTCACACGCACAATTCTCGGGTCATTGCACAGCTTGCTTTTATGGTAGGCTCTCCCTCCCCCTTTTAAAGGCAGAATTCGCCACGAACCAGCAAAAAAAAATCGTAGTCAGCGTTGTTGAGCACTGTATGTGCTAAATGCTTGCTCTTGGAGAAAAAAGGAAAGGGAAACCGTTGAGAAGGCTCCAAATCAGGCCCAACGTGAAAGATATATCATCAATATGGATATCGGGAGAGAGTCCAGAGAGAATAGCTAGAGAACATGCAAAGGAAGGAGAGTGTATAAGACATCTATCAAATTGGGCGGAGTTACTTGAGCAACCCTGCGCCTTATCACCGCTAACCTGCTATTTCTGACGTGAGAAATTCTAAGGAGAAGTCAGTAAAGTTGACTATAATTTAGATCATGCAAATTCTTCAAGAAGGAAATCTGAGGCGAACGCAAGAGGCCACGGAAGCGAATAAGACGTCGTCAAGGAGTCATGCACTGCTTCAGGTAGAGCTTCCTCTCTGCCTTATTCGAGGACTTTTTTTCTAGAATTCGTTTTAAGTTGATGGTTCTATGTGTGATGAAAATGAACGTGAAACCATCAAAGCCATACTGAAAAATATTGAAGCACTCATTGTTATGTGAACATTAAAAACTTCAGGTTGCACTGCTGAAGAACAATCGGCCTTATGCGAAGCTTTTCTTGATAGACTTAGCAGGATCCGAACGGGCATCAAATACGAACGTGAGTTGGTATAATAGCTTGAATCTTTCAAAAGGCATTTGTAAAGTGGAAGGTGGTATGCATGCTGATGGCGAAGGAGGAAACGGGGAAAAGGGGCCAGCAAGAGAAATAATTGTAGATTAAATAGAGATGGAATAAAGGTGGAAAAAAGACGATTAAAATGTTCTGAGGAACGGAAGACAAGTTACAGTAGTAGCTGACAACATCGCAATCAGACGGGGCGGTATCAGGAGAGGCGGATGAGCCCTTCTACAATGGGGATCGTTTAGTGACCGATTTAGGAAGAAAGCAGCCAGTGGTGGGGACGCAGCGGGTGGGCTCATGATACCTCACTCGAAATCGCCTTGGCTGATTGCGGCGATATAAGCTATATGCGTGGCAATCAGTGTATGAGCGAATCACACTAGTTGGCATTGGAGGAGTGGAAATCGCAGTTCTTGCGCCACGCGATCTGTAAGTGGAGGATAGCCACTGGCCGCCAATCAGAGTCACCCTAGCCGCTACGTGCTCGCAACTCATGTAGTGCGCAACGTCAGCAACTGTCTTCGCTTGACATTTCTTCTGCTGGCTGGCATTTTGTTTTCCTTTAGCATAATCATACACTGATTGCCATGTGCCATTCCGTAACATCTCCCCATAACAATAAATGTCCTTTCTTCGCATAAAGAGACAAAGGATCCAAAATTAGTAGGAAGAAGAATTGCTCATTTGCAGAATCGCGGGCAACGTCTCAAAGAAGGTGCAGCCATCAACAGATCTTTACTTGCACTCGGAAACGTAATTAATTCACTCTCATCAAGTAAGCTTCTTTTGTTTTACCAAAAATTCTTTTCCTTATTTCTTTCGTTAATCGAAAATCTGAATTGAACTTATTGATAATCGTTTTGGGGTGAACCCATCCACCTATGCTACTAATAATAGTGACATTCAAAGACGATACCCGCGATAAATTATTGATAGTAGGAGTTATATACTAGTAGCTAATAAGTGATTCTCCAGTTGATAGGGAAGCGAAAAAAAAATTTCTGAGTGCACTCTGAATAAAACTCCTGCCTCACACTCACACAACCTCACTGTACGGAATTGCTAGACGACACCGCTTCTGTACAACCCCTGGCTCACATATTCGCATTCTTCGCATCTCCCAGTGGTAGCTGCCATCCATTACTGAACTGGAACAAGACTAGCAACAAAAAGAAATACCTATCGAAAACTTTGTGTACGAAAAAAATATTACGATAAGCTATGTGCGACGAACTTTTGCACCACTGCAATTGCGTCGCGGTGAATTCGAGCAGCGCTAGTACGCATCTTTCCTAGGGAAGTACACCGCTATTGTTTGCCTTTTTCCAAGAAGCTATCCAGTGAAAGCAGAACGACCAGTGACCTTACAACAATCGACCCTTTACCGTTGTCTGTGACGAGCATATGAGATCAGGCTGCAGGCAACGCGCTCGGTAACTAGCGGTGTGAATAGTTGTATTGTAGCCTGAAAACGTTAGCGTAATGAAAGATCGCGCGTCTCTGACCGCTCCATCTCGCACGTACTTGTGTCGAAAGTTGTACTCTCTATGTGAATGTGGACCTGGCTACCAAGCGCATGTAGGCATTTCACGCATCACTTGATCGCGGCACTGGTCCTTAAATGCGTACGTTTGACTACTAAAGCCATCTTTGCTCCCGATTACTAGCTGTTTTTCGCTATAAGAAGATTACCATTGCGTCACTTGACTTCTTCGGGCTTATTTTGAGCGAATGTTGGCCCATGCATGTCGACCCTTCCCGCAATCCAAAAATGGTTTTCTGGTGGACATTTCACAAATTTCTCGAGGAATCCTCCCTAGGCGGGTTACTTTGTGTAAGCTCGGCGGAAGCACGAGTTTGAGAATGAGTGGTCCCTTAAAGTCGCTCTGTAACAGTACACAATCAAATTCTTTAACATTCTCAAAGACGAAATATGTAGAGGCAGAGCTCGAGGAAAACTCGTGGTTAGACTGCCAGCCACTTCGTCTCTCCAACCCTGTCATTTTCTGCAAGAGTGCTCAATAATTGATTTTTATCACGGCTTTCTCGGAGTTTTCATTGGTGTGCTGTGGAAATTTCGCAGTAGTAGGCTACGCTCATTCTTTCCTGCTCCGGTTGAGTAACTTTTGTTCCATCGTTCTGAAAAACCGCTATATTTTTTGTTCCCTATAAAAATTGCTTACTAGTATAGAAAGAGTTTAATACGTTCCAGATATAAAAGGGCGATATGTGAATTACCGCGATAGCAAACTGACACGACTCCTGAAGGATTCTCTAGGTAATTCATGTTTAGATTTTATTTCGTAACTAGTACTAGTACTACTCGCTTCCGTAGCCTCTTGTGTTCGCCTTGAATCTCCTCAGTAGTAATGACTGGTTTTAGGTGGGAATGCCCGAACGTGTATGATCGCGCATGTAACGGCCGCCAGCGGACACTTCGAAGAGACATACAATACCCTCGTTTACGCCTCCAGAGCCAAAAACATAACAAATAGGGTATGATCCAGCGCATAGCCTCAAGCTCGACTGTGGTTCTAACATGGTTCTTCTAGGTAACAAGGAACCGACCAGCGTCGGCTGATCAACCGTACACCGACGCGATGAAGGAAGTACGCGAGGAATACGAGCGTAGAACAATGCAACACGCCGCATCTACAAATCAGAGTAAGTGTCTTTGAGCTTTAACGGCAAACTGTACGCTCAACTCCGAGGCGGATCCATGCCATGCGAGGTGAGTGAGTTCGTAGCAGTATAGGTATGCCACTCACTTCATTGGGAAGGGTGCAGAAGAGTGTTTAAAGACAGACATCGTGGTGAGTCAGCGAAAAAATCGTAGGTAGAGTGCTTGAGTAATAGAATTATGTATGCTAGTTAACCCGCTCGTGAAGAAAAAGAGGAGGAAACCGTCCAGAAGGCTTCAATTGAGGCCTTACACCTGTCATGAAAAAGACAAACAATCCGTGTGGATATCGGGAGAGAGAGAGGTCAGAGAAAAGCGAAAGACAAACAGTCAGTGTAGATATCGAGAGAGAGGTCAGAGAAAACAGCGAGAGAAAACGAGCGAGACAACAGACGAGACTTCTATCGACGTGGGCGGAGTCACTTGAGTAACCTTGCGCCTCTCCGCCACCACCTTACCATTTTCTGACGTAAAACCTATACAGGGTTGTTCGCTGCAGCTCACACTACCTAGAAGAGTTCAGCTAATTATTAGTATCTTGGGCTCTCCCTTTAGCAGTGGAACGTAGATGTCGTGTGGGCTCCGTCCGATGTCCCCAGTGTGCAGCATGATGCCGAGGTCCCGCAGCGAACAGCATGAGTGGCAAGTCGGTCGCGGTTAGTTGTGGAAAAAGTCTCCAACGAGCTGACGCAAACGAGAAGTATGGATGGTTTGGGTATGCGTGATAGCTGGTAGTGCGGCGTGTTACGTGCAGCGTGATTTTCCTGCGAAAGAAGCGCCGACTTTCATCGTGCTACCACTATCTAAATGCGAACTTCATTTCATTTGCACGCCTTCGAGTGACGAAAGAGGCACACTTCCAAAGCTTCGGATCCGTTCTCGCACAGGGAAAGGACACAGGGCAGATCTGATTCCCTGACGGGTTTCGCACAGATGCTCCGTGAGAACTACAAATTGTGAGGTTGTCTTGAACGAAAGACTAATTCAGAGTTCTAAGAAAAGAACTTGCGAGATTCATCTCTACGCTACAGAAAGTAAGGAGAATAACCTCGTCATTATAGTACTGATCAAGCACTTCAGCCCAATGTAATACAAAATAGCCTAAAATTGCGAAATGGATGTACTAATCGCGTTGTTTTCGTCTGGTTTCCCCACAAGACCCGCGTAATTCGAAAAAAAACAACAACTAAAAGTCCAAAAGAGAGTGACGAGCCACACAACTAGTAGCTATCAAGAGAATATGAGGATCAGGTTTTAGGGGAAGCATAGCTCGCGAAAACTCACAAATTAGATCGGGTGAGTGGCTGCAGTTTTGTTAGTCAGCCAACTGGATAACGTGGTTCTAAAAAACCAGGTTTCTCCTCCGTAAGGTGCACACTCGCTGCAATTCTATGGTAGGACTAGGAATGACTTCCTCACTGCCTTTCCGTCAAGTCTAATGGTTGAGAAGATAAATGAGGCTGAGAGCGGTAATGGATCGCGAAAATTCTACCTCCACTACTTTTGTTGTCTCTGAACATTCTTTGTGAATGGTACTGGCATATTCAGTTGATAAAGCTTCTTCGTCAACAAACGATCGATACCGCTACAGTGTTAGATGGAATGGGAGTACAACTACAACCAACGGCACTGCAAAGGTAATAAAAATACCTAAAGTTATTATATTCGCAATCAGTTGGGGCGTGTCAAGTGGAGTGGAGTGAGCCAGCCCGCAGCCTTTTCCGATCACCATTGGTAGGAAAGGCAGCAGGAGGCGAGCCCGGTCCGCTCCTCCTAACACCGCCCGTCTGATTGCGACAATATCAACTGTGGGCAAATGTTTCGTTTTTACACTTCCAATGTTTACTGGTAGTGTCACTAAAGAGTTTTCCAACAAATCAATACAGTATCTCCAAGAGTATGTAATTCTGTCTAGAATGTCTCACCAATGTTCAGGCTGAGAAACGCGATTTTTCTTCTCTGTTCAATCAACTGAAGGAGCAGTATGTGACGTTAACGGATAAGCAGCAAAAATTAAGGTAATAAATGTTAAAATAATAATTTATATAAATTGTTTATTATACAAACGATCAGGGAGCGCCTGATGAAAGCCAATCAAGACGCTTACGAAGTGGAGATGAGTCGCACATCGAAATTAGCCATAATACATGCCTGGGAGAAGCACAATCAAGAAGAAAAGGCTGCAGAGAGTATAAATCGCCTGAAGCAGGATGTCACTGAATTGGTAAGAGCTCTCAGTTAGATTTGTTGTCGATTTTCTAACTTCCCTTATAATTTACTGTCAAATTTGAAAAAGAGGGTTCAGATTTGGAATGGAATTGGTGTGGAGCTAGTTAGCTAATTAATGTAGAGTGTATGCCACGGGACTGCTTGTAACACTCCTAAATGAGCATTAACTATCTGATTTATGACCCGTTAGGAGCAGGTTTATGGTATGGGCGTGATTTCGGAGCGAAACGAGCTTTTAGAAGCCCTCTTTCTTCGTTTTCGGAAAAAGCATAACTTTAATGGGCTTAAGTCCCTAGCCAACATTATCCAATTTTGACAGAATTGAAAATGTGATTGATTTATTGTTAGTAAGAGTCATTTCCTCTAGCAAACATATTTAGGGGAGCATTTGGGGAAGCTCAGAGAATCACATAGAAGTTCTGTTTTGTCCTTACAGCCTCATATATGCATTAAACTTCAAATCACATTCCGCGTTTTCAAATCCTTGATGAACGGACCCCGTTATGATCTATAAACTTCACTTGGCTTATTGCTAGAGGCATAAGGCACGCTAATTTGGTACTCAGTCTAAAATAGTAGCAAGGGTGCAATATAGCAGGGAACGTGCCGAAAAGCGATTTGAAATGGTAAAAATCGCAATGAAGCCTTTGTTTTACACGACTCAGAAGCAATATTGGGCACGTTTTCCGCTGGCGTCGTGCCAAAAACCGCTACGGTAGATAAGGCTGCATACTCATATATTCATGAAATACCGCAGTCGCTTCATATCTGTCCCTTCGTTTCGTACTGTACTTCGCAAATGAAGCGATAAGAGCACCAGTGTCGGTCTGACGGGTGGGCGGGCGGCGCGTACGCGTCCGGGTCGGAATGTTGCAGCCTGACATGGCGCTGTAAGGGTACCCTCCTCGAAGAAGGCGCCACAGAGCGCCTGCTCAGGAGACCGACTCCTGTCCCTAGGCGTACTAATTCTACACGATTTATCGTGCCACCTGCCTTTTATGAGCTTGAGCTAAGAGCAGAAGAAACTGTCCAAACCAATGACAAGACCTGTTCACTATTAGGCGAACATGCCGAGAAGACAGAGAGAAGGTCGCTGAGCGTGCCGGCGAGAGCCACACATGAGAGGTGAGCAGCCCAACGCAACGCCACGCAGCAAATTGTATTCATGGGAATTTGAACTCGATATGAGCTGATTTTTCCGATATCGTAAGCCTTTGGCGCTTTCGCCCCTTACTTTCGACGCAGGGGTACTTACCACGGTATCCCGCGTTAGCTTGCAGAATATTTATACCAAGCTGACTTGGCATAACGCAACACCTCGATAGTTCCCTGAGGCGAGTGCTGCGCACGTAGCCTCGTTTGCGACGCCTTATTCGCAGCACTAATCGCTCGCGCGGCTGCGAATCTCTGCCCCCTGGACACGAAGGAAGCCATTCGGTGGTCGCAAAAAGAGCTTTCATCACAGTTACCAGTATAACGACAGGTCTTTTTCAGCAGTGTGTGTCGCGATTTCACCATCTTTTGACCTACAGTCTTGTTCGCTGCGGATGCTGGGACGTGTCCGGCAGGCTGGGTTGACGTGGCTCCTGCCGCTTCTCTACTAACTTGTGAAGCAGCCAAGCGACATTTGGTGAAATACGGGGTTACGCCGCGCCAAGCGCGGTACCCAAACGCCCCAGTATCCGCGGCTAACAAGAAGGCTATACTGTGCCACCTCTGTTCTGCCACAATGACTGCACAATTTTCAGGATGAGCAATTGAATAGTATGGTGGAAGTGCGACAAAAACTCGAACGAGCCCTACGTAAAGGGAGAGAAACAGCGAAAGCTGTTGAAACGCGGTTACGATCGCTCGCAAATTCCAAGGAGCAGAATGAATTAATCGACCTCATAGTTCGAATGGATAATATTCAAGCTGAAAGTAAGTTTCAGAATTAGTTTTTTTCCGTTGTTTGCACTTCCCTCCAATTTTAATGGGCAACCCTATCACAGCGCCATATGAGAAGTGGCTGTATTGAAGACAACCTTTACGATCGAGTGTTACGGGATAAGTGCTCAATCATGAACCAGTAGCCCATAACTAACTCCCCAGCAGAGAAGGAAACGAAAAAACCCTGCGAACACCCTGGAAAGAAACCCTCCCAGCAGTGGGCACGCGCCTCGAACGAGTTTGTCAGACGTCGGACAAGCCCAATTAGCAGGTCGACGTGCAACCGATTCCCGGCAATAGCATAGAAAATCGCCCTACGACGCTTCAGCCAACACAGTTTACACACGCAACTCCGCGTAATTGTTGCAAAATCTGCTGGGCATTGGTCCAGGATGACAGTAATGCCCTGAGTTAACAGGACCCTAAATTTTGCCGATTGTTGATTTTGGTGAAGCTACTGATTACGTCGCGATTCAACCGTGTAGGCCGCTAGGTTGCCGTGCCGATGGGCGTGGCTGGCGACACCGCAGCCGTCGCGTACGAGTTGCTTTTCTAATAGCTGGTTCTGTCAAAAGTATCATGGATGGGCGCTTCACTAGGGGATGTTTGTCGGAGACACTGTGAGCTAATGCAACTCTCTTGCTCCAACGAATACCCATGGATACGGTAATACAACTGTGAAGTTGCCGCGCGATCGGCCGCACGACTCAGTGTGCGCGAATGAGCGGCGAGACCTGACAAGCTCACTATAGAATTGCACGCCTGTCGATGCTACTGCTTATTGATATTCGATTTATTTGCATAGCCGAACTTCAGTTATTATTATTTTTACAGGGATATCGGCTGTCAATGATCTCGCAATCCAGTCACTTATCATGGAAAAAACTGACAATACAATGTCCAAGCTGTCAAAATATGAGATGCTCGCGGAAAAGCTCATCGAAGGACGAATAGACGGTGAGATTCAAGGCGATCCGGGTAGAACGCTATATGGGCGCAGTTCGGCTAGGAGGGGGGACTAGCATTTTGTACTTTAAATGCTTCCTTAGTTCCGGTTTACAAGTCTTACTCTGGTGGAACCCGTGAACTCTTGTAAAGATGGAGTAAGGTCGTCAAGCTATCATAGTAAAACCTGCCAACTCAGAGAAGAGGCTGCCTAGATAGGTCGACACGTCGATGGCAAGTAGCGGAAGTGCGAAATGCCCCTCCCTCGTCGCCGAACTTCGCCCGCTACATTTCAAATTAAGGCTGGTCGAAAACGTGGCAGATGACGGTGAAATGAAAACTTTTTTTTTTTTCTCGAGAGTAATTACTTTAAGATAATATCACTTCTCAACGAGGCTTCGGCGCCTGTTAGGTTGCGATCATACTTTGCGACAGCGTCTGCCACCGTCCATCAGCGCTCACCAGCGACCGGGAGTAGAAAGTATGGACAAGGAGGAGGCAGCGAACAGCTGGATTAAGCGTCGTGAAGATATGGAGTGTGTGACCGCACCGTACAAGTCACTACACCGGAATTAAATTGCATAATTCTGTGCTTTAGCAGTTTTGCGGTGCGGTTACACACGCCGCAATTTCACGGCGCCTAATCCAGCTGTTTGCTACCCTCCTACTTCCCCATACTCTCGTCGCTGGTGAACCTGGCGGAAGCTGCCGCAAAGTATGAACATAGCCTTAAGCGCGCTACCAGCGTTCTCGAAGTCAAATGAACTTTGATGTCATTCCGGTGCTCAGAATAAACTTCTAGCCAAACTAAGATCTTGACCTAACAAAGCTGAACTTGTAGGCGAATTCGTGAAGGGTAAATGACGCCTCGAAGTTTACCAGTTCTATCTCAATAATATGGACGCAAAATAAGCAAAACGGAAAACTCTAGGTAGGACTGAAGCATCTACTAATCAGGAAACTCCGGAGTGAGGACGGGAAGTGAGAACGACGCAGATTCCGCTCTGCACCCGCAGCAGCCGTGGGAGTACGCTGCCCAGGCGTTACCTAAGGGATGTCTTGTGCACTCGCTGGTCCCGTGCATTGAATTTTGCGCGCTATTTGATTACTGTATACCGCCTGTTATCTCTAAATCATAATTCAGTGACATTGAAAGGACAGGGGTAGAAGCCGTGATTAAAGTTTCGCCGACTCAGCGCTATACTCAAACCTTCGACGACGAAAAGAATGCTATTTTAGGTCAACATTCTTATTTCCAGATAAAGACCGTGAGCGACTGGAGCAGGAGTACAGAATAGTGAAGAATCAGTTCCATTACCATTTGATTCCTTTGAAAAATATTCATAGCGTGGTTTCCTGGAACTCAATGCTTCTCCCAAAGCTGAATTCTTCACTTTCATCGTGAGCTTTTATTATTTTTATACATATTCATCCAAGTGAAACGACGTCGTGTACATAGCCCGAGAGAGGCCACTACCTAGCGAGGCTTAGTCACGTCATATTTTAAAGCGACGAAACTACGCCATGCTTTCTCGGTGAGAGGGCGCAGAAGAGCACTCATGAAGTGGCTTCGTTTCTTTGGAGTGTGACTCCCCCGGGCGCTTTATCGTGGGAAATGCAATGCGTGCTGGTCGTGTGGTCAGAGATGGGCAAGCTTTCAGCCTCCCTTATTGGGTTACCGTACACTGATCGTATCATGAAGAGGCTGTACCAATGAGGAGAGCAATGCTTGGTCGTCTCCGCCCACATCTCCGCCCACACGATCAATGTAGGCTATGTCTTCAAGTTATGCGAAGTCTTCAGGTCTGACGATTCGGATCGTGTAAACAATCGTCGTACGAAGAAACGAGATTCTGCTCAACTTCCACTAATAGTAAGAGGCCGAGAGCGTGAACGTGATTCTGGATCAAGTTCCTATGAGACTAGAAGTGAGCCACTGAAGTGTTTCCAGATTCTAAGGCTGAATTCATACTTTGCGGCAGCGTCCACCGGCGATCAATAGCTTCCGCTGACGTTCCGTGCGTCCGGCAGCGTTACGAATAGCAAAGTATTGTTATCTATTTAGCGTCTATCAGCGTCTGCCAGCTTCCACCGCCGACCAGCAGCAGTTCGCTGGTACAGAGCTTGGGGCGATAGGTGGGTGAAAGCTTTCTGTTACCCTCCTACCACGCCATACTCTCTACTCTGCTCTCCTCCTGCTCTCCTTCTATACTCTACCAGCTGTCCGATACTCTCTTATTGCGTAATACTCTCTACCAGTAGTCTACTACCCTCATATCTCCCATACTCTACCAGCTATCTTCTGCCCTCTTATTGCGTAATACTATCCACAAGCAGTCTGGTACCCTCATATCTCTCCATACTCTCCCAGCTGTCTGCTAGCCTCCTATCGCCCCATACTCTCGCAGACGCTGAATCGATATCCATTCTTTCCTGGTTGCCAACGCTGCCGGACGCTCGGAAGGCTGGGGCGCTGCCGCAAAGTATGAACGCAGCCTTAAGATTACAGACTTGTTCACGATGTCAACTTCAACATTTAGGTGAACGACATGATTCGTTAATCGCAAATAGTCTGCCTCCAATTCGATAATGAGATGATTAGATGTGGCTACGCTCCTACGGAGTATGATATCAATCTTTCACTCAAATTGAATGTGACTTTCACTGCTGATTATGCTACGGCTTTCAATTGGTGATACATGCCTTCAAGAGTTTGTTCAAAACTTTTTCTTCATTGTTCATAGCGTACGTCATAGGTCAATGTTGAATATCATCATCTCCTGCTGATGCTCAAGAACCAGTTACACTGGTACTTTTTCATTTGGGGTGGTCCGTTCACCTAGGAGGTGAAGGGATTGGTAAGCTCCGAATGCGCCACGCTTGGCCCACCCTAAAGCCCATTTTGGGAAGTGGATACATTTGACTGTGCATGCCCTCTTTACCCGAACCTACGAACACTCACCTCGAGCAGGTGGTTCTCTCATAGTCGGCTTATTTATGTCTGGTGTCAACCAAAAATCCAGCGACTGAAATAGAAGTGTCCATGGGTGAAACTCAGTTCCAAGGGTGGTGCGAGTACTTAACAACTGATCACAGTCGTCATCCGGGTAGTTGATTAGGCGGTCAAAGGGACGTAGACGCGCCTGCAGCGCGTCACGACCGCGGCGATCAGCCGTTTCCAGCCTATTTAGCCATTTTTCCCTAATTTTCACTGTATTATTTATTCTTTTCTGAGGTAAGTTGTTTTTTGTCTTCATGAAAAATATTGGGACGTGGTTCTGTAATAAAGTGTTTTCCGTAATTTTTTAGGTATTTCTTTGACTGTTTATTTCGCCGCAGCCGGGGCTGCGACCCTTTAACCGCCTAACCAAGTGCCCGGATGACTGTAAGTTCGGCTTACGGTCAAACTGCTCACGTCATTGAACTGCTTCCATCATATCGTAGGGTCACAGGCTTCTATTCCTGAAGCGGGTTCAGCTATGTTCGGCAGTGATTACTCTGACAACCGCCGTCCTAGGGAGGGAAAGCAGAACTGGTTCAAAAACATTTCGTTGAGAGAAAGCAGGTTTTGGTATATTTAACGATCTCTTGAGAGGGACAGTCCACGACAGTGGTGTCAGGGGCTCAGCCGTTGATTGCGTCATTGGTGGAAGCGAGTGAAGCCACACCTCCAAGACGCCTAGAGCTCAACTCAACTCCTTCCACCAATGACACTGGCGACGACTCCCCCATCCGCCATGGAGTGTACCTTTAGTTTGAGTAGAACTCCTAGGGAAGCAACTTATCATATCTACAAGGACACCAGTCCGAGCACTTTGTCTTACTCTTAAAAAAAGTCAGTGAGGCCACAGTGCAAATTGGTGTTCGTGTGACCGCTACTGTATCAGTAGAAATGTTTGTCTAGATCTCTAATGCATTCCGATTCTTTCTTATTGTTGTGAAGAAAATGTACATGTGGTATATACTTTTGGAATCTAGTAACTGCATAGTTACAGTCTTGTTCGCTGCGGACGATGGAACGTGTCAAGGGGATCGGTTTAACGCGGCGCCAGCCCTTTTCTCTTTCAGCTTGTGACGAGACTGCTGTCATCGTTCGTACCAGTGTTCTTCCACCGGTTGCTGTCGCTTACGCGTTTTAACCGACGGAGAACAGATTGGCGGCGCCCCAACTCGGTCTCACTGACACGCCCCTTCATTTGGAGCGAACGAGACTTTAATTATTTTTCGATACTCTCACCGGTAAAGTACTAATTTAATTGATATTCAATACATTTCTATCATGTGCACCGGTTTTCGTGTAATGCTGTCTGATCTCTGATGAAAATAAATTGTTTCCATAATGCGTAATCTTTACTTTGGAGGAGCCTTGATAAGAAGTTGGATCACAGTCAAATGAGCGCGACGCGGAGGTTGCAAGAAGGGAACCTCCCTTCAAATCCCAGAGGCGGAGAGGGCGTGGCTGCATACTCGAACAGGTTGTCAGCTGCTTTTCTGGTGAGACAATGTCGCCTTGGCGCAATCGCAGTTATTTCTGTGATAAGCACAAAACAGGGTGTCGGTCTTTTTGCAATTGGAAGCACTCACTCAAAAATGGTCCCTAAGCCGTATACGCAGTACGCAGCCACGCCCCCCCCCCCGTCTCCAGGATATGAGAGGTGTGTGTGCTTCAAGGCAGTGAAAGCATACCAGCAATGCATAGAAAACTTTTTCTCAGATCACGTTTTCGCATTTTTTTGCGAGTTTTCGCAGTTTGCAAAGCAAAAGATGGCTTATACACGTAGGTGGTGTTGAAGGATAAAAGGATGAAGTTCTCGGTTGCTCAATCCCTTTGTGGGATGCGACGCGCATATGTACTTCTATTCAGAAGAGAGTTCATTGGATGGGAAATCGTTGTGCGAATCACATAGTGGGGGGAGTCGTACTTTTCGACTCGAGAGAAATTCGCCGCGTTGGGAAAAAGTTATACCGGTTTTTGACTTTTTGCGTGATTTTCCCTGTTTCATGTGTACTATATCCCCGCCTCCTCCCGCTGGACAGCAAAATTATTGGGTGAAAAAGTGGAAAATGTGGAAAATTTGTAGGATGAAGGAGAGGTCGCACCGAGACTCTCTTTTGTTGAGCGGGGTCTTCATGATGACCTCCCGTCGAGGGAGGGGGGTCGTACCTTTGACGCCATTTCATATTTTTCACGGTGCTGTACCCTGACATCAGCCGACGTACAATTCGGTGTTACTTGGATGGCCTGAGCGGGAGGCGATCCAGGGTTCGGGCCTGTGGCCGAGCCAGTGGTGAGCGTGCCACTTGCCACTACACTACCTCCGCGCCTAAGGGATAAATCCGTTGTGAAATTGCAGCGCCGCAGCACCTGAAGAGAGAGTGATAGGCTCCTGGGAAGGGAAAATTAAACTTTTCAGTAAAATTTTTTCAATGCTCCGAATATTAATAAACCTTGGGGGGAAGGGCATTTGAATGTCTTTTCGAGCAAAAGTGGGATTACATTGAGAATCATGAGGTTCATTTATTCGAAATTTTTCCGGCCACCTAGAAGCTTCTATTTTAATATTGCAAAGTCTACGTCTCCGCTAAGGTAATCCCATTTTTCTTCAAGGAGTCCTTTGAATACCTCCGCCGTTCAAGGTCATTAGCCTCTTCCTTTGAATTTTGCATATGGCCTGTCCCAATAGCAAGTCATATATAAAGCCCCAATTATAACATCGATTACAAATAACAGCTATAACATCCCATTTGTATTTTACTTACAGTTAGAGGTGGTTATGATGCGAACTTTTATGTTTGTTTCAAAAACGAAAAAAATCCAGTTAGGCAAAAGGAGACAAACGAATGCAGTAGTGGAGCTGAAGTAAGGGAACATATTAATCGGTCACTCAGAGAGCGAGACTGAGCTGCATAACGTTCCTCTCGACTGACACGCCGGAAACACACCAACAGGAATCCATCACTCCTCCATAGGCTCGACAGATAGCAAAAATGCTACAGCCAGTAGTGATTTCTCTTTTAATTGACTTGTTCTATGGTCTTTGAGTTCACCAGCTCTTTCAAGCCTCGTCTATCATATCTGCCGCATTGGGTGCACGTAACAATCCTTTGGAGTTACCCGGACGATTTCACTTAACTTTGTTTTCATTTGATTCCCGCTTCCGTAGCCGATTCGTATTGCGAGAACTGAGGTCACCAGTCAGGCCAGGTTGAAAGGGTTATGCGACGGATTACTGGATGAAGGCCACTAGCTAGGGTATTGCTTTTTTTCCCAATTTCGCCTCGCAACGGTATCGAATACATTGGGTTGGCACATATGTAAGTAATGGCGTTTTTTTCAATTGAAAATTTTGTTTCAAACGTGAAATGTTTCGCAAGCCAGGTTGATGTCATCTGATAGGAAACTTCTCGTAGTATAAGAATATCAAAGCAGCTTCGGTTAGGGGAATAATTCTTGTGTATTTTCTAGTCGTTGAAGTTGAAAGTGAAGTCGGCGACAATTAGCACCTTCGACAACTGCCTCTACATATTTACGTCTACTCGAAGTGCTAAAATCGCTTAAGCTGCTCCATACATTTGGAAAAGGTTGAGCTAGAAGTTTCAACAAGGGAATCTCAGTGGGACGCTTTGGAACTAATTTCAAGAATTTCAAATTTGGCAACCTTCACCTTGCCGATATTGGGCAGGCTCACGTCTGTTCCACCTGAAATTTTATGCTAATAGTCGAATGTTTCGCTGATATGTTTTGCATGTTCTGATAGCAAATTTCGTGCTCTATAATAAAACAATGGAAATCTGTTCTTCAGAGCTGTTTACTTTCTGTTAATTTCAGGTTATCATTACGGAGCGTGAGGTCGATGAGAATAAGCGTTCCCGATTTCCACGAATTTTATGCTAATAATTGAATGTTTCGCTAATGTGATTTGTATGCTCTGATAGCAAATTTTGTGCTCTATAACACTGCGGTGCAGTTATCTTAAAAATCCGTTTGATTTCATTGTTCTTCAAGTTGGTAATATGGAATGTATGATTTTACCGAGAAGGCATTAAACAGCTGGCTGATCGGTGGGGGAGGTTGTAAGAAACAATGGGGAATATATCATTGACAAGTTTATTGTGAATATCTATATTTTTATAGTGTTGTAAATACTGTGTTTGAAAGTTACTAAGGAAAACAAAAAAAATCGTGAGGTATTGGTCGACCGGATGTCTGCAAGGTCAAAGTTGTCGGTTGTGCTTCTTTCCAGAATAAATTGTGAGCCGTCCTAATATTAATCTGTTACTCTAAGCCTTACTCAAACCATGGCGATTGTACTGAGTTGCTCTAGGAGCTTTGAAGCTTCCGTGGAAGCGGTAGGGAGAGGAAGTCGGGAACGCTAATTCCCATCGACCCCACGTTCCGTAATGATAACCTGAAATTAGCAGAAAGTAAACAGCTCTGGAGAATAGATTTCCATTGCAGTGTTATAGACCACGAAATTTGCTATCAGAACATGCAAAACAAATCAGCGAAACATTCGACTATTAGCATAAAATTTCAGGCGGAACAGAAGGGAGCCTGCCTAATATCGGCGAAGTGAAGGTTGGCAACTTTGAAATTCTTGAAATTCGTTCCAAAGCGTCCTATTGAGATTCCCTTGCTGAAACTTCTACCTCAACCTTTTCCAAATGTGTGAAGCACCTTAAGCGATTTTAGCACTTCGAGTACACGTGAAAGAGGCAGTTGTCGAAGGTGCTAATTTTTGCCGACATCACTTTCAACTTCAACGACCAAAGAAATTCACAAAATTATTCCCTCAACCGAAGCTGTTTTGAAATTCTTATACTACGAGAAGTTTTCTATCAGCTGTTATCAACCTTGATTGCGAAACACTTCACGTTTGAAACAAAATTTTCAATTGAAAAAACGCCATTACTTATGTGCCAACCCAATACATATTACATTCCATCCACTCATCGCAAAATATGTATTCTTGAAGATAAAGAAACGTATTTTGTTTGACGTCATTGAATAAGTCGAGCTCCATTGCTTTTTATTCAATAGTAATAATCAAGACCATAGTACATTTACCGCTTAATGATAAAGGGTAGACGTTTTCCTGAGCGAGAAAACTATCAGCATGATATCACCCACAGGGCACATTCGTTGGGATTTCCCAAAAGCGAGGGCGCGGATCGTATTTGGTCGCTAGGAAGAGAGGAATCTATTTTCCTCGCGTTTTTTTTCCATTTCACATGCTTAATGTACCCTCCCCGATTCAGCCAAAAAGCTGTATCGTACCAGAGGAGGGAGGGGGAGAGGAGGGTTCGTATCAAGCCACTTCTTGGTTGGGGTGGGGGCACACAGACTCCATCACAACCCCCAACCAATGATGCGCCCTGATCACCCACGCGTAATGCGCATCTTCCGCCTTTAATTCCTTGCAAGGGATAAAGTGTGTATAATTTCAAACTCCAATAGCACATTGCCAACAGGGCACAGCATTCGAGGGGGTTTTTGGTCGCGCCTGTACGACCCCCTCCCGCCCCTTTTTGAGGGTTCGGTACGACCCCCTCTATACCTAAACTTATGAAGTTTCTTGCCCCTCCCCCCCCCTCCGAGGAGGAAGAAAGTTCATAAGTTTATGTATAAGTAAGCGCGAAAAATGGAAAAAGTAACAATTCTGAATGAGGGCCCCCTCGCTTTTTGCTTATTTCTATCCTAATTCAGAAAAGAGAATAGAAAAGAAAGGCCATTAGGTTCCACCCACCTTCCCTCGAGACAAACTCTGGTACCTAAATCAATTGCAATTAAAAGAAGAAGAAAAAACAGGAAATCAAGCCATCAATTGCAATTAAAGAAGAAAAAAAAACAGGAAATCAAGCCAATTCCTCCTAAGAGCACTCTGAGCGGTCCAAGCAAAATTGCTGGGGCGCGCTCTGACGTGAATTCGAATAAACTAGAAGAAGATAAATATTCGATATTCCAATAAACCGAGAAGTATAAATACGAAAGAGTAAATACGAACGGGTGCAAACCAGCCGCAATCAGCTGATTAAAGGCCGAGGTACCGGGGGAGGGATTCTGGGCAGGACCAGCCATGTAGAACGCGAGTTTTCAGCAATGTGGGGTGTCTTTGAAGGACCACATCTTCCTCAAAAGCGGACCTGTGGGGAAGGGGAGACCGTATTCGTGTAGAGGAAGGTTTGCACTTCCTAAAAGTGCTGAAACGTTTATGAAGGCCGCAAAAATCCCAGAGAAATCTGCCATGGGGATTCGTTGGGGAGTGATTTCAACTGAACAGGTTTGAATCAATATATCTGTTTTTCTTTGTTGTTTCTATTTGAATCAATATATATTTTTTGTAACTCAGCATTTCACAAATCTGAAAACGGTTTTGAGTGTTTGAAGATTTCCTCTTTCTAAAAACCTCTTGAACTGTTTCTGAAGTTCTCGGGATTCATGAGATCTCGCGATGGGGATTTCTTGAGGAACACTCCCAGCTGCGCGAAAAACCCGTTTCCTGTGTACCGTTAAAAGTGAGCGGTGTTTGAAAACCAGGAACGCATGGGAAACGTAGTGGTGGCAGCAGGAGCAGAATATAGTTCGTTTAGCGCCGATCACGTCTGACTTTGGATGCGCCGCGCACTGAGGTCCGCGCAGAAGTGATGGGATGGTGTACTTGTGCGTAATGTCTGTCACGCGAGCAAATACGTCTATAGGGTTCAGGGAGGTCCATGGCGAGCCTGTGCACTTGTTTACAGTGTTTTCCGTTGCGTATGATGGAGCGTGTCCCTGTCGACGCTGCCAGATTCGTGCTCCGCCAATTGCTGACTCCGATAAAGGAGACCAACTGCTGGAAAACGTCCATACGAACGATATGATAGTCCTGTCGTTTGTCGAAAAAAAAGGTTGGCTCAGCGCCAAGCGCGACCGCGGACACGCCATATCATTGGCACAAACCAGAGTTTGAGTTGTACTGTTTAGTCACCAACGGACTTACGAGATAATGTCGACTTATTAATATTTGCAGTTATTTCGGATTAGTTTGATGAATGAAAGTTTTGTACTATTTTTTTTGCATATCCGAGTTCTCTACAAAGCAGGTTTCGCTGTACAGGACTCAGCACACTGACACCTTTGCACTGCTCGTTACTGGCTGCCGCGATCACTACGACCCCTCCCCTCTCGTGGCGGCCAAATACGACCCCCCCCCCTGTTGGGGATTCCCCAACCAACGATGTGCCCTGATTGCCAAGGGGGCAGGCAAGTAAGAGGCTTATCTAAACTATCTCTTTTTCTCTTTTTTTGAAAGTTCACCAAAATCTTCTTCTCATTTCATCCTTTATGGAATTAAAAACAAAAACCAATGCAGAAACAGTTCAGCAGAAATAGCAATATTTGAGGATATTTATATCTTGGACGAGAACTTCGACATCATCCTTTCCAAAGTCTCTTCACAGCTGAACTGCTTCATAAGAACCTGCAAGATTTGTGTTACTGTAGCTCATAATTTTTACAAAAGAATAATAGTAGAGATGTACAGCGCGGTACTAGCCACAAAGTACGCCAGCCAGGGCGGCCACTGCGCTGATTCGCGTTCACAGAGTTCATTTTGCAGTCAGCTCAAGCAACGTTTTTAGTTCAGCAGTGAGATTTATATCTTCCTAGGCCTCGTAGGCTCGTAGGCTTACCACTAACTTCAACTATGAATGACTTGTTTCTTTCGTTGAGAGAATTTTTTTGGAGGAAGTAAACGGATGAATCTGTCACCTCGCATTCCTTCCGATTGATAGAAAGAAGTTTGTCAACCATAGATTCAGGTCTCAATAGCCGTTTCGACACTAGGAGGCTCTGAAATAGTTCTCACTTAGCGTAGTCGATGGGATTGGCTAACTTGTTCTCTTAACTTTGCCAAATAAGCGAACATTTTTCGTTGACGCAGGTCACCAAAGTACAGTCATTATACCTGCAGACAACAGGGAATGCGAGGGGGCGGCTATTGGAGCGTCGACACGACAGCCTCTTCAAATGACTGATGCCGCCATGAGTCCGCAGCAATTGGTTCAAAATACTGCCATAACTGGGCTCCACACCACGCCCCTTCGCAGGCCCTCTCGTTTGCATGGATAATGACTATGTAAGGGCAGAATGTGAGTCCAGAAAAATTAAGATGAGGCAAATTTGGAATTTCAAGGGCAGTTTCTCATGGACCATCTCTGGAAAAACATATGTACCTGTCGAGCGAGGCTGCTATATTGATCCACTATTTTTTGGGTTTCCTGCGTGAAATTGTTGTGAGGAATCACCTAAAGAGAAGAAATATTATTACACACAGTACCCACTCTGCCAATGCTCTACACTAGTTATCCTGAATTTCATATCTCCTGTTGAAGATTACGCGAGGGCAAGGCTACTCTGAGGAAACCAGAGACCAGTAAGAAAAAAACTGGGGAATTTCCAATATGTAGAACAAGAAGACCCTGATTTCAGAGAGGATAGGATCCCTGACTCCAATACTGGTGGGTTGCCCCGCACGCCATTGCAAAATCGCGGCGCTTGCGCCACGATTTTGAGTGGGAGTGGACGTGGCGCATCACAAAAAGGATTAATCAACGCTTAATGCTCTGTCCCTTTTCCGTACGTGATTACGGTTAATACTGGCCGAACAAAAGGAAACAGTAGGGCTCTGACCACTAGTGAACATTCCAAAAGACGCACTGTGCTCGCACGAACTTTAACCTCACCCTCGAGTGAAAGGATAAAGTCTTCGCCTCGATAAATTCTTTTTGGGATGCGGCACGTATTCTACTTACATTCAGTATTGTAATGGTTTAGTGAGTGCGGTGTGGCCTATATAATGACTTACGGGGCTTACTATCCCCAGAAGATAGAAGCTTGTCGGGGTGAGAGGGAGTCCATCGGGGATTTGAGCCTAGAACCACGCGAATGGTGAGCGCACCACTTGCCACTACACCACCTCCGCCTCAAAAAAGAGACAAGAGACAACATGGTTAAAAGGAACGTCTGAGGCAATACAGTACAATACGAACGCACCTGAGAAATGAGACCAGCGTCAAGTGCTTCTTTAGCTGATAACTTCTCAGACAGTAGGAGCAATCGTGCAGCCTTCAATTGACTATTATTGAGGCGGAATTATTATACATCTAAAGTACCGGCAGATAAGCTTGAACAGTGACGCGGTAAGAAAAATACCCTATAAGGACCTATTTCGGGTTTAGTTGGGCCCCAAACACTCTTGAATATTTGTTCCCAATAAGATTTGCTCCATGCCCAGTGTTGCGCAAAGTACATGCATTACAGTCAGGTTCAATGCGGACCTCGGAGATGGGGGTGTCAGAGGGCTGGGTTTGAAGCGACGTATGCCAGTTTTGCACCTATTGTGGTTGCCTGGAAGCTTCCACAACTGGTGGAAAAAGGACCTGCGCCGCGCCAAGGCCAGTCCCCCTGAACGTCCAGCACCCGCAGCGAAAAGACGGTGATACATGCGCTCAGCGCAACTTTGGGTTAAATAGCAAGAGACAGCAGAACAGAGGGACTATACAGAAATTTAAAAAGCAGCTAAAACAAATGAAATGGCAACGGACCTTTGCGTGGCCCATCAGCTGAACAAATGTGTAGCTACTACAGCCCTCTGGATTCAGTCCCAACGTGGTGAAGGGGCAGTAAAAATAGGCCTGAAATGAACTCATCGGTTAGATTAAGCAATAATTGTCCAAGGTATGTAACCCTTAGATGAGGGGGCCTGAGTTCGGAAATGTTCGCATTGTCACTGATGGTATTTCGTAACTTGAAGACTCCCTTGGGGACCCTCAGATAGGCGGGCCGAAAAGCGATATTATTTGCTCTTCTCGTTCCTGTAGTCTTCAGCAGAATCTTTGAAGAGGAGTTATGCGTCTAGGCATCATTTTCTGGCCTCAACTTGCCACTTCAACACCCCGCTCCAGTCCAACTTGGTATGGACATGAGCGAGGTGTCGAAGTGGCACTTTGAGTATGGTGCTTTGAGTCACCTCTAAAACTTGGGGAGAAAAAAATGTATAAAGGATCATAGCCAGTAAGATGCTATATAAAATCATATCAAAATTGTATTATTGGTATGGTCCTCATACGTAGGAGCTTCACTAACTGGTCTCTATTTTTGAGATCTTTGCAAATTCGAGCCACAGTTCGTACTTGAGGGACTAAGTACGGTCGTTTTACGAGTAACGGTTGTGAGCTTCCGGTGACGACTGCCAGAATACAGACGGAAGAAGGTTTGATGCGTATGTGCATGGCACTACGCGGCCATCATGAAGCCCGCCGCTACTTTTCCGTAACGCCCCTTTTTGTGGTGTGATACGGGCTCCATGACCCATCAACAGCAGTCCGTTCATGCGCGTACTTCAGTTAGAAACAAAACGCAAATGGATTGCTAACCTTATCAGAGGCCAGCACTACGTCGCAAAGTCCCAGTGTTGTACATGCAATTCCGATTGCTGGACCGTTGACCAAGGCTACCAGGAGCTAGAAAATTCTTATACAGTGCTTACAAAATAAAAGAAGACGGATTTATTTCCCCCTCAGTAAAGTGTGAGGTTAGGAACTAATGGAGGGGCATGAAAGTTGCCTTAGTAGAGTCCAGAGGCAGAGGAATGCTTAGAACTAAGGATCTCAGGTATGGACCAAAGTCAGAACAAGTTAACGAAAGTTGCTGAGTTAACCCCGCCCACAAAATTACAAACCCCGCCTCTCGAGCTCTAAATTCAGCAGAAGACATGCATGCAACAACGAAAGAACTAGCAACAACTGCTTGCTCATAAGCCCTCATAAGTCGATTGTTTCGTCCTCACAAAAATCTGCATCGGAAATTCAAATTAAAGCGAAACTATTGCAGCAGAATGTTCTCACGAGAGCGAGATCCCTTCAATTCTTGAAATCAATGAAGTCACCTTTGAATGACGAATCAGGCGATCAGTCCATAGCTTAAACGGATTCTCCACACCCTTTTCCGTTGGAAATCTAAATCAAAATACTTTAGAAGAAATATGACAAGGGATTTCTAGCGCTCAAAGCTATTTTCTGATTTGGTTGCTCTTGAAATCATCTCAAATCTTCAGATTTCCAGGAAATCAAAGATATATTTACCTACTACGAATCAAATATAATGTTTCCGATGCCGTTAAGGTGCGCTAACTGCCTCACCACTGAGAAGAGAGCAGGAGAAGCTGTCCCAAGATCCCAACCGACCCTTAATTTCCGAGCAGTGTACGAGTATGGAAAGACGTTCCCACACTTCCCTCGGTAGAACTAGGTAGGCTCACAGCCGGTTCTCAGAGTGCGCTCGTACTTCGCGTCTATACCGATTCAGCCGCAGGTGAGACTGGGGCGATTGCTACGACCACGCTCCATCGCTAATTATTGGACCACTGTAACTGCAAGCAATCACATTAAACGACTTTTTTAGTTTACTACTTTGTATATCGAGTAGCGTTGAAGTGCGGTCGGCCGTAGTGAAACGTTTTGGGAATCGCTCGAACCTCGGAGTATTGAAGGGTCTCACGCATCTCCAAGGCACGAAGGAGCACGCTATAGCTGAATGCGGTTCCCACTTATCTGACTAGACGCCCTCCCTCCCCCACCCCCCGCCCCTCCCAAACGTGGCAGCCAGAGCAGAATTTTCACCAAATGTAGCGGAATCTGCAAAGGCAGCATTGTTGGAAGAAGGTCGCCCTAGTTTCGTTTGCAACCACGCCGCGTCAAACGCCTAATCGTTTGCATGAACCACCACCGCATGTGAATCGATCCGGAGAAAACTAAATAACCAAAAAAATAAGAAACTTTAAACATGATTTTGAACAACTCATATCTTAGCAAAACTGAACTACAAACCCTGAATTCTGAAGTTCACTTGCAGAGAAGTCGCTGCCTGCGCAATAAAACGCTCCAGAACCTTAACGACAGAATAGAGAGATTAAAGGATACGTAGCAGAGGAATTATTTGAAATAGAGAGTTGCTTAAAGAGTGTTAGGAAGTAGCACAAACCTGTAAGTACTGTAACAAGCACTTTGTCGTCGTTGTCAGCCTCGTCGAATGCATTGATCAAAGCGAGGTACATCTCGAAATGATGTCAATCAACGTACAATGACCGCCTCTGTTACATTTGAAAAATCCGTTATACAGAAATAATCCGCATTTTTGTAGCATCAGACTGTTTTCTACAGCGGTAGAACACTAACAAGTTACATTGTTCTTACTGTATAGAAGTAACTTCCATAGGAGAAATATTTTTGACGGAGTGGTTCAGCATTTTCAGCTGACCATGAACGCTCTTATGGCGAGTTTATTCACGATCACTGCAAGCGATAGGGCGTGTAAAGGGGCGTGCGTTCGATCGCAGCCACAACAGTTTTTCCGGCAACTGTTGCAGAGACAGCATCGCATCATTGATGGAAATACGGCCTTGGGAACGCTCCAATCTGCGCCTTCACAAGTCCTATCGCTTGCAGGGATCCCTTCAATTTTTAAAAAAGACAAAGCCCACGATCACCGAAGAGGTTATATTCCTTCCATTGATTGGGAATGCGGGTTCGAAACCGCTTAAGATGTGTCTCTTGTGCGCGGAAGCAGCGCTAATGGCTTGCGATGGTCAGAAATCCCGCCTATTCCAAGTACCGACACCCATCAACGTATGTACACCTGCTGGATGACGTCGCGATCAATTTTCCCCTTCGCGTTTCCGGCTGTCTAGTTTGTATGGTCTCTCGCTGAGTGTCTTCTCGATTCATGGCATGCTCTTTCGCATGTTGAACATCAACTGGGCTCAGTGTTCTGCCTTTCTTTACTGGAATCTGGTGAACGCGCCCAAAAATTGGGGCCAACTTTGTCCATTTCACCGTGACCCTGAGCGAAATGGGTATGTGAGAGAATCGTTATTCGCCGCGCTGGTTTGCGTCCATCGTCACTTGCGGGTGCGACGTCGCGCCCGCAAGTGACGATGGTTCCAGGTAGTACATGGGACAACAGACAATTTAGAACCGAAAATAGTCATAAATGTCTACGATGGCGGGGTCTACATGAAGTCCGCTCCTCCAATGGACAGGTTAACAAGAGAACAAAACGCCGCGCCCATCGCCGCGCGCAGCAAATTACAATTCTCTTGCCCGTCTCCCGTGCCAAATAAGCTCTACTGGCAAGTTCAACAGGTAAGCGAAATATATTTCTTATATCCTACTCCCTCCTTTTGTTTTCCAAATATCGATAAAAAGTCTGATCTCACCTCAGATGTGATTGCATTGTACTTGTTGGCACGATTGAAGCGGATCCAATAAACATTTCCAACTTTCTCTGTCAGTATATGATTGGTCATTTCTACAAAAAAACAAGCAGTAGTAATGAATGGAATATCACTCAAATAAAATTGTAAAAATAGTGAAGAAATAAAGTCGCAATTCACAAATAACCGAAGCGACATCATGTTATGATGGTGAAAACGTCGGTAAAGGCAGGGTCATTAGGTTGATAAGACGATCAATGATCACACTAAACTATAGTCTGGTCAACCGGGGAGACACCTGCACACGCAGACATGTCCCAGTGGGTGATATCAGCTGGTAACAGCTAGGAACATTAGTTCTATTAGTTCTACTAGGTGTTAACTATGTGTTACTAAAGGACAAATGTGTTGTTATGGCCATAAAATACTTCTTTTATATAACAATAATTGCCCATAGTTTATAAGGTCAATTAGCCGTATTAAAGTGGTATCGAAAAACACATGAGGAAAGTAACTAAACACTTCCGCATACACGTCGAAGATCAGCGGAATAGATATCTTCGAGGGAAAAACTAGCCCCGGAAAATTAAATTCCAGGCCTGCTTTCTGGATTTCTCGTAAATTACTGCTTATGAATAGGAATCGTAATTCGTACTGAAAACCCTAATCGCATCGCACCTCCTCACATAGTAGGCAGGGCACATCATCGTTGGGGATTCCCCAACAGGGTGAACGATTTGGTCCGAGACATAGTCTCGTTAGCTTGGTCGCTGGGAAGGGTCGTACTTGGTCCGAGAAATTTTTTTGATCGTTGTTTTTTCTTGTTTCGCTGACGCTACAAGGGGGGAGGAGTGATCGTAATTGCCTCTTGAAAGAGATTTGCACAGCATTGGGACAAATTTTTTCCCGGTTGTTACCTTTTTGCGGCTTTCCTGTTTAGCATGTGCCACATAGTTACCCGCTGGGAAGCTGGGAAAATCTGAAGAAGTGGTAGGTAGGACAGAAAATGGTGGTCGTGTCAAGCCAATTTTCAGAGGAGAGTGTCGTACGGACTCAACCAGAATCCCCTACCAATGATGCGCGCTCGCAGTGGGTGACTCCGCTTAACTACCCTGTCTGCGCTATTTGCTAACCCATAGCTGAGCTCTCACCGTGTAATAGTAATAATAAGCGTTGGAGTTTCCCTGACTCGTGTTCTTCTTAAACCTACTAGAAGGCGCCGCGGCTAAGAGCTGCAGCTGGTCTGAAATGGGAAGTGGTGCCGTTCACCGCGAGCGCGGTCCAGGTGTCATATCTCGAACCCAATACTGCCCGGGTCAACCAAGCCTCCCACCCCTTTGGGTCGGCTCAGACTCGTGATGGTGCCGAAATTACTCACTAATCGGTTTCGTTTTCTTTCATTACATGAAACGCCTGCCCTGCCTTAGGTTTCTGCCGGCATCACCAGGAAAGCAAACATTTTCGTCTTCATGCCCTGAGTTTTCATCTAGAGGCCTCGAAAGGCGTTCGATTGGAGCGCAGAGACGATGGTCAGCTTG